AATTATCAAAGGAAATTCTTATCCGTTCGCATCTGTACTAGGAAATAAATATAGGAAAACCTACTCGCTCCAATGTACAGATCGAAAAACTCGCCCCCTTCGATTGAGCGGATTTTTTTGTAATTATTATATTTTAAAAAAAGTTAAAACCTTAATACATCAATAAATGACAAGGATCTAAAACACCATAAAAAACTAACAATACAAACAAAAAGTTTCAATACGAAAACAGGAGCCAGGAGCAGCCAAATCTTAAAAAAATTATTTTATATCTGACATACATTAAAAAAGTACAGAGACGTTCAAGTCCTGTTAATCCAATAGAAAATCAGACACTAATGTTCTAATTTCCCCCAAAGAATATGCCAGATAAAACTATGAAACCATAAAAATTATGAAAACTTATGCTCCAAACAAGAGACAAAATTACTACAATAGTTACTGAGGAACGTATACTATTTCAACAACAAGTTGAAATTTAATTATCATAAATGAGTATGTGTGTCTTTGTATAGGTAAAAATGATTTAGGAGTCACCCCCCATTGAAAAGTAGCAAAAATATAGTCAAGAAAAACATCATTTGTTTCTTGAAAAAAAAAAGTAAGTATCAACGCACTATGTCCAAGTATCAATACTTGAAAAAAAGTAAAACGCCAAAATATACGAAAAATTATGAATATCAATTTCATACAATTCAGACAAATGTATAAATCGCAAAATGATTTACTCCAGATAACTCTAGTCAGTAGATTATTGCCATCAGAATGAAAACAAATGATCAAAAGTTCAAGTACAGTCAAAAATTCAAAAAGTAAAAACATTTGGGGAAGGCAAAAATAATTTTGAAATTAAATTTCCTACGTACCAAACATCATGAGAGCTATATCAGTACACCAGAGATCCAACAATTAGGCTATATATGCATACATGAAAAGTCTCAAGAAATCAAAAAAACTGCACATGAATAAATACTTTCAAAAACTAAGAGGTTAGTGATCAAAAATGAAAAGCATATAAGAATATGTAAACTATCAACAACAATAGTCACAACCTCAATCAAAAGTTTGATAATATTCGACAAAAATGCTGGGAAACCTAAAGTCCCCAGACTATCAATATTCAACAAAAAATTATCAAAATATCATCAATCTCAAAACTACAATGAGAAGAAAAGTTATAACTGTCCCCAGCAGTAAATAAAAACTATAGTAGTATGTGATAAAAAAAAATTCTGGCAGTGATCTCGCTGACTACTAAACAAGACAATTTAAAAGTTAATAGTATGCCTATGAAATAAACAGGTGGAAAAATTTTAATCTTCTGCTAAAAAATTTAAACATTAAGCAAAAAGTAAGGATGATTAAAGAATTAGAAATTTGAGTAGCAAAAGCAATTAAAAATAGAAATGCTGCCAAAAATTGTAAAGAATTTTGAAAACTATGTTCTGTCTGCCAATCTTCCACTAGCAAACCACTTGTCAACAAAGCCAAACACCACTCGATGCCTCACGTTGCGGGTGCCAATTTATGTATCGCTTCCTTTCCGCAAAAAGTCCAGAAAAGATGGAATGCAATGAAGATTCCAACTTTTCTGCACAATCACAGAAAGGGGGTTACCATTAGCTTCCGGTAGCTCAGTCGGTGGCATGAAGACATCTACAGGCGTGTAGCTGTGTGTCGACCATGGCATGGCTAGAGGATAGAAGAACAAACAGAACACAAAAATTTAACAGATTTTATTTAACAAAAAAAAGCATTTCCATTACATTACAATTTTACAGTTTTAAAGAACAAAATAAGTTTTACATCTTTGGCGCTGCTATAAAACTATCAACTTATCTTTCGCTGGTCCATTTTGACTCGACTGAAGCGAGGATGGCCAGGTGCTTGAAGTGGAGGTCCCAGTTATGAGGGGTGACCTCACATATAGTGGCTTCATAACCAGTTGTAGGCGAAGTTGAACTTAAAGGCGATGGCGCTGCCAAGGCACATGCATGGGTGAAGTGATAGGCCAAGCAACGCAAAGTCAAAGACTAAGGCAAAGGGAAAGGGAAAGAGAAAGGGGGTGGCCCCAATCTGAAAAATAACCGTGTGCATTAGCAACGTGCCCTAATGGCCAAGGCATTTCTAATCTCCGTCTGCCTCAAAAGAGAACCAACGATTTTCTAGGTTAGAATTACATTACGTTGTTTGATAAAATCAAACCGAAAATTGGAAATGCCTTTCATAAAATAAAATCATGAAATAGCAAAAAAAAGCGTAAAACAAGATGGTGGTCATCAAAAATTTCTCCACATGCTTCTGATATAAAAACACAAATATCGAATATTCATAATCAACGTACTTATAATTTCACTGAACTATGAATATATATACGCACACAGAGGTAAAATCGATGTGGATCGATTTTCACCTCGATTTGATTAAAGTTATGGCGAATGATCGAAGTAGTCGAAAATGACGTTCGATGGATATTTTAAAATCGTACAAGAAATAAACCACTTACATATCGATTATCTATAAACTACAGGCAGATCCAGCAATAAAACTGTATAGTATTATAAAACTCACCATTTTGTCCTATACGGACACACATTCTACAAAATTCTAGCACATGGTGCTATATGACCTTGTGCTACAAAGAAGAAAATTCTTAGCTCTTGTTCGATCGGCGGCTCAAGTGAAAAAGAAGCGCGAGGAAGATCGCAGATCAGGAACTCCGCATCAAGCGGTCCAAGCGGAAAATTTTCCAAGTAAAAAAGCTAGAGATGGGATTAATGAAATGATAATCGAGAAGTGATTTAATAAATACGATCGGACGGTGAAACCGTTACAAGTTGGAAAAAGAAGACTAGCGATGACTTCCTCTCTGACAAGAGACCTGGAGGCTATCACTGCTTGGGGACGCAACAATCTTGTACAGTTCAATGCTTCCAAAACGCAGTACTGTACTCTGACGAACAAGAAGCGTCCCTGCGCTCACCCGGTTTCGATGGATGGTCGAGTTCTGCCAAAGAGCCATTCATTTCGGCTGGTCGGAGTCCAGATCACCGAGAACCTGATCTGGCACGAACACATCTCGTCAATAGCTGCAGCTACTGGAGAAAAGCTAGGCTGTCTGTTTAGGGCTAAGAAGTACTTTTCTCCGCATGACCTTCTCATTCTATACAAGGCACAGATAAGGCCTAGCCTCGAGTATTGCTCACATGTTTGGGGTGCTACCGCTCCGACTACATTATCCATGCTCGATGCTGTCCAGAGGAGGGCGGTCCGACTGATCGATGACCCTTCTCTAACAGACAGTCTCGGGACTCTTTCGCATCGGCGGGCTGTCGGCGATCTGGCTCTTTTCTACCGTTACACCAACGGGCTTTGCTCCTCGGGGCTCTCTTCCATGATGCCGTCGCGCGATGTGCCTGCCAGACAGACCCGCCTAACTTTGGCGTCCCATCCTAACCGTGTCGAACTTCGTGCGTCCAGAACCGGCCGATACGACCGCTCCTTTGTCCCGAGGGTGTCGAGATTGTGGAATAATCTACAAGAGGGGGCTTTTCCCAGTTCTATTAACCTTAGGCAGTTCAAAAATCGTATTAATAAAATTTCTTTGGGATCATCATAGCAGCCGCGGTGTTCCGGCATTTGGGCTTCTGCCTGCGCGGCTGCTTCGATATAAAAAAAACCGAATCAGAAATGACTATTCACGAAACAGACAACAGATCAACTAACACGAGACACACTTCGCCTGAATCAAACCCAAACTCGATTCAATTTTCAGACAAAAAACTTTTATGCCTATCCTCATCGAATTGAATTTATAACAGGTAAAAAGAAAAACAAGATCAAATTACTTCCGAATAAGACACTAAGGTGCTCTTTAATTAAACACTTATGTTCCTCATTTATTTTGGATTGTATAAAAAATTATTGTACCCCTGGTATTAAATACGGAATTTGGTACGACGATCAGAAACTTTTGCCCATACTTAGTAAAATTATGACACAATCTTTTTCTGCAAAACATATTGTACTAGAAAAAGCTGCATTTAAACCAATTTATTTAGACAAACAAGAAATGAAAGACGAAATAACTTTGTACCATTATAAATTTCACAACGGAATTAATGAAACTTATTCTCAATTCCAAAAGACTCACTATACACCAAAACTTAAATACCTTATAACTGACATCATTAATAAATGCGAAATCTGTTTAAAAGCTAAATACGAACGAAAACTTTACAAAGAACCAATCCAAGGCCCATTTTTCAGTAACAAACCATTCCAACTAGTGTTCATAGATATTGTTACTATTGAAAATACTAAATATGTAACTTTGCCCAAGCCTATCAGACCATGTCACGAAATCACGTTGACATACTATCTAAAATGAAACATTTCTTTTCACATCATGGATTTCCAAAATCACTTCATGCCGATTATGGAGAATTACGTTCAGAAGTTATTAAAGATTATTGTAAAGCTCATGAAATACATTTGCACTTAGGAAGCACCAGCAATCCTAGTTCTATTGCACCAATTGAACGATTACATAGTACCATTGGAGAAAAATCTCGAATCCTAAGACAGACTCGAAAAACAGACACTACTACTGACCTAATGACTGACGTTATATTAAATTACAATCAATCTGTTCATTCTACTACAAAACATACACCTTTTGATTGATTATAAGGTAGTACTGAAGACCCTTATTCATCACATCTTAAACAAATATTAGAAAAAGACAAAATTAATGAACAAATCGCTCACGATTCTTATAATCAATTAAAAAAAAAAACTAACAAAATTAACGAAAAACGCGTATCTAAGATCCCCGTTTTAAAATCGCCGATCTATATCAAAATCCCAATCAGACAAACTAAGGACAAACCAAAATATCAAAAACACACTATTTTCAAACAAGGAAATCAAATTTTAATCAAAGATAGAAAACACATGCTGAGACGAATCAAGCCTCAACGTAAAAATCCTTTACAGAGCTCTACCAGTCCAATGCCTACCAATTCGAGCGCTACTGATGAACCCTCTGCTCAAAGCACCTCCGGTAATCAAACTGCCGCTAGGAAATTCAAGATTAATCGAAAATCGTCATAAAACTCAATTCCTTATTAATTTAAATTATATAACCAATCCAAAACTACATGAAAATCAACACGCACTGAATTTACAGAATTAAAAAGTTATTTTCTTCTGTAAAGGTTTGCAAGGCACTTTTGAGCACAATACTATCAATATCCAAGAAAGCATAGTTTCTGTTACACAAAATATGGCTTTTCAAATGAAATGCTTCGAGCAAATCGCACATCAAATAAATGTAAATTCAAATTAATCATTTGAGCGTCCTATCCATTCTTTCATTAAATCATAGGGAAATAAATGTCCTCATTGAAAATTTGCAAACTTCCTCTGTTAGATTTTGAAACAATGCACCCTTTTGAGATAGTGAATCTTTGCGAACTATCAATTGTAACTTTGCAAAATGAATCATATTCGTAATCCATGTACCTCTTCTTGACCGTAAAAACTTACAGTGTTTTTGAATTGTATCCGTTAATTATAAGGAATGAATTAATAAAGATCCTAAGCAATTTTACTTTGTAATTTGAAGAAGAAAGATTTTGCTCCAATTTAATCAAACTAAGTAACAATCCGCATTTATGTTTTTAATTACTAAACAGGCACATGTAAGCCATCTATGTTGAAAAATTGTCCTCATATTCACTTAAAATACTATTAATACTAATATTTTAATTGATATTAAAGACTGCAAGCAGATTGAATTATCATTGCCTTTACTTGAAAGTAATTTTAGCTTTTTAAATCCTTCTTATTACCAAAATCATTCGGAAATAATAGTTCATACTAAGTTGCAAAACCTTTCTTACGACTCTTACAGCTTTGGAACCATATTGTAACTGTAAATTATATTTTCTCTAAGTTGGAGACCAACTTTTCGTAGGAGGGAGGAGTTATGGAATCCTGTTGGTAACATAACTATGTGGTACAAGCCCATTATTCCAACAAATTGAATTGTATGGCAAGTAAGCCCATTAAGAAATATTTGCTTTTTACTTCTTTTTTTCGATACAGCTCTGTTATTTTTCCTATAAAGATTAGAATTATATCGAGGCACAGACAGATTTTGTTCAATACTTGTAACTACTCTTTGTTCCTGCAATAAAGTCTGTTATTTTTTTACCTTACGACGTGTGCATTATTTATCTTATATATATAAGATTGGTTGTTCGGTGATCCTTTTCTTTTCTTCGTTTATGGCTAACTTCTTGTCCACCCCAACCAGGTCGACCTGGCACTCTCTGCCGCTGCAAGAAGATTCTATCTTCATTTATTTTCATCAGATTGTCCAGGTTCGTAACAAACTCTTGTTGACGTTGCTCAAAAACTTCTTGTGTTTTGGTTGCATTTTTTTGCAAATCTCTCCAAACTTAGTATAAGGTAACTAGTTTCTTAACACAGATAGGTAGAGACTTAGTCGGTATACTCGTACATGCATTTTCCCAATGAATGATGCACTAACTAATGATATAAGGTTGGCGCTTTCATTGACACTTAATTTCACTTCCCGGATATTATAGAACAGAACTGCTAGTACTTATGTGTGAAGTTTTGGACCGGTAAATTGATACATTACGTCACCTATTGAAAATATCTCCTTTTTAGAAATGTGTAATTCTCTCGACATGTTGACCAAACGAAAACAATGCGTTTACAAACAGAACAAACGTTAGCTAGCGCGCGCCAAGTTTTGACATGGTCCAACGCAACTCGATGCGGGTTGCCCAGGTTCTAGGTACATAAAACTTTACTTTCAATTGTTTTGACATTCTTTAAATAAAATTAGGGGGTATGCGATTGAAAAAAGAACTTTCACTTTTTTGGGGCACACTTTACTGCCAGAAGAGTTTAGGTTATTAAATATCAATAAATTTAAATATAAATTAAAAAAGCAGTTACTGGATGGACAGTGAAAATTATGACGCGGCTTCACCATTCGTTTTCCACTCCTTATATTCTACTTTTTTCAGTTATATTAAGAATCTACTTCTTCAGCCAGACTATTTTCATATTTTATGATTGATTACTTTTCGTGTAATATTTATCTACTGTGTCGATTCAGCTTACTAATCGTTTCTCATATATGGCCAGCTCCCAGAGAAAAAAATATAAATTTGTTTTTTTAGTTTTTTATTTATATCTGCATTTTATTATAATAAAAGACTATTATTATAATAACAATAATATTATTATTATATTCACCCATTCAAAAGACTATCCAAGATGAAATTAGATACCATAGCGTCATCTTGGAGAATTAGTTAGGATTAATAACAGTTATGTTTCTCGTTTGCGCAGCGTTACCGAACCAAAAAAGACGAAATTGGTAGATAATCCGTCCATGCAAAAAGGATTTTTTTGTATTGTACGCGCATACACAACACTGGCTTCGGGAATCTTTTCATAAAAAAAAGATATCTTCTTTATTACTTGTACAACGCGCATACTGGTCATTCCTCAAACTCCTCTGCAGTCATCCTGAAATCTCATTCTCCCATTCTTGCTTATAAGATGATGAGTATTTTTCTGTCTTACTCCTGAATTTGAAGCTTCGCCACCTGATATTTTAATTTAATGTTTAATTGACAACAGAGAGATTTCCAGTCCGGTGATGCGGTAATGACGGTGATCCGGGTGATCTACCAATCTGTACCTGTTGTACGCACAAAAACCAATAATACATGAAAATAAGGGTAAGTAATGTGCGTACATAGTTATAGGCAACCCAAATCTATGTTCCTCTTGTGTCCGACTGCCTAGTACGCATATGTATGATTGGTATGGGGCATAAAACTACATAATACTACACAGTATCCATTTTTATCTTCATTTTTGATTCCAGATCTTTTTTGGTAAAAGAAACCCTTATTTATTCGAGTTATTTGAAAAAAAATATGGAAAATAAAGACGTTTTTGGTAGTTTTGTAAATAAGGTCCCATTTTGGTAGAAACACCGAAATCTTGGTAGGTTCGGCAACACTGCCTCTCAGCAATGATTAGAAATCTACTTTGAGAAGGTTAGTGCCATATGTATGCCTTTTCAAAGTAGGCTTCTATTAATGCGGAAAGGAGAAACATAGGTGTGACGAATTCTAATAGCTGTCGCTACGGTAACTCATGTCATCTTGGATGATTTTCTGGATGCGGTAATATAGTATGTACTCGAACCATATCTGCAACTTGTATACTATGTTCAGTATGTGAATGATTCAATGTTGTAAGTGGCGATGTGTTTAGTATATCTTCAAAATAGCTACTTCCGCATCCATCCCATTGTTCAAACACAATAAACTAGGTCTCGATTTCACAGCCTCGTGCTAGATAAAAGTTGTACGAAGCTGTACGCATGCCATCTGAACATCGACGCAACAAACCCGTGCCACGTCAGCCTTAAAGTCTCCGAGTCTTGTAACCAATCCAGATGGTCTATTTTCTTTAGTTTCAAATTAAAGGTGTACGATAGAAGAACTGTAGACCAATACCTAGACATACGTTACGCTGATTTTTTTACGTCAAGAATTTAACGATAACAATCTCACGATATTTTATTGACAAGTAATAAGAAAAAAAAACAATAATGTGCGCAGCTGAATATACTCCTGTATATGCCTAGGCATCGACAGAATGAGATGATCGATGTCGGGTTGTGGCACCTCATTCCAAACAACTCGAACTTCGTGGATTAGCTGTGGAGGAGTCTATGGCGGATGGTGCAAAGTGGATAATCTCCTCCTTATCATATTCCACACAAGTTCGATGGGATTTAAACCTGATGAACCAGGTGGTCACGGCAAAACATTAACGCCTGCGACTTGAAGAAAGTCCGTAGTACGACGAGCAATATAATATGGGCACGTGCGTTGTATTGATGAAAAAGGACGTGAAGTGGTTTGTAGGACATTACCAACATAACGCGCAACAGTCATATTGCCTTGAACAAAGAGAAGAGGTGAGCGGCTTCCATATGCAATAGCCCCCCAAACCATTACTCCAACAGTCCTGTGTACATGCATCTCAACAGCAAATCCAATATCTCGCCGTTCTGCACGGCATCGTCTTACACTTCTACGACCATCGTGCGTACCTAGACAGAATCGCGATTCGTCGCTGAAGATGACAATATGCCATTCTGCCTCCCAATGTTGCCGTTCTGCTCCAGCTCAAACGTTGCCGACAGTGGTCCGCAGTCAGAGGAAGCACTAACGGTATGAAAAAAGTCCAAAGGCTCGTATGCGAGGATAGAGTGTACGCATAGTAACAGGACTACCCTCTTCTCTAATCCATTGGTCAGCGATCTGACGCCTAGTAGCAGTACGGTCTCGGCGGGCTAGTTGTCTGAAGCGCCTATCTTGACGCTCTGTGGTACGCCTCGGTGGACCAGTTGCCTTCTTCGTGTTCCTCTAACTTTTTCTATCCACACACGACACAATCGCATTACCGTCATTGCAGTACAATTGAGGCGGCTGTCAATTTCGCAATAGGACAAACCAACATTTCGATAGGCAATAATTCTACCCTGTCAAAGTCGCTAACATGGTGATAATTTGGACGTCTTCGAACTCGAGGCATTTTGTTATGCTTAACACTAGTAAATGAAAGGGCAATAACTGAAAATATATGTACTACTCAACTCTCAGAAGTTGCCTTCTTTACAAAAACTAAGTGATAACATTTTAACAAAGATAGGTGAACAAAAGCAAGGATAAAACGTTGACATTGTTGCCGCAGCCTGCTTCAACCCTTAACCAGTCACGTTCAGTCTCTGAGACTGATTGATATATAAACAGCCATATATTTTTCGAACGGTTTGTAATTTTCGGCTGTACCTTTATCTAATCCTCCTACTCTAACACGCCTTTCTTCCACCATATTAGCACTATTCGTTCACCATCGGTTTCCGAGAAAATTGCGTCACTTTGTTTTGCGCAATCTACCAGACGGCATCTGACCGTTAGGTTGACATTATGCGATAGGCATCATCATAGGGATAGGTGAGACGAAATATTTCTCTGGGAAAAATCGGTACAGATGGTGTGCATCCGAAGTCGGGCCTTCGTCGCCAACGGGGAAACGTAATATAATCACGAAGGTACCGGTTCTGAAAGGAAAAGCGCAGTCACTTGGGAGCAAATCCAATCCATTGTCTGTTTGGGAATTTCTTGTGACGGAGGGAATGTTGCTTCAAATCGCCACCTGAACAAGTGACAAAATGGGCAAAATGAGAGAAAAATACAAAGAAAGAACAGCTCATTTGAATGATATAGACTTGATTGAATTGAAGGCGTTTTTGGGGATTTTGATTTTTACATCCGTTTTCAAATAGAATCATGAAAACCTAGAACTTCTTTTCGGCACCGACGGAACAGGTCGCGAAATATTTAGGGCTATCATGAGTGAAAAACGATTTGCTGTACTTCTCGTGGCACTGAGATTTGATAATTCGTACGACAGAGAAGAGAGAAAAAACAAGATCCTTTGGCCCCTATTTCCCAAATCTTCAACACCTTTATAGAGAATTGTCAAAACCTCTCTATGGAATGGGACAATCGGCGACATCCGACGAAATGTTGGTAAGCTTTAGACGTTCGGTACGTTTCAAGATGTATAAATCGTGCAAATACCGAATAAAAAATATGGCCCTTACAGATGCTAGAAACAGTTATCTTTATAATGCATATGTATACGTAGGCAAAGATTCTGATGGAACAGGGCCTGCTCCAAAATATCGGTCATACATCTCGTACATCGTTTGATACAAATAGAAATATAACAGCGGACAATTGAACTTATGGATGTTTTGTTGAAGAACGGGCTCACGTACGTTGGAACAATAAAAAAATAAGAGGGAGATTCCGCCTCAATTTCAACCACGCAAAACACGAGGAGTTGGGTCTGCACTTTATGGCTTCCACGAAGAAGGTACCATGGTTTCTTACGTGGTAAAGAAAGCCTGAGATCATCGCTTATTACAGTTCCAACAAAGGAGGGGTGGACTCTCTGGACGAAAAATATTCAAAAAGCTCTTGCAGCCGGCGCACACGAAGATGGCCGTTCGTAATTTTTTGTTCGCATTTTGGGTATATTTGTAGTTCATTATTATATTTTGCATCAGTGCTTCAGAGACAATGGAATCATTCGAGAAAAGTCTGCGTTTGCAAAAATTTTGGCAGAAAATTTGGTTCAAGAACAAACTCATGGAGAGACGACTGCAAAATCCCTGCTTACCCCGTGAATTGTGCTTCATGATATCACGTATACTTGGTAAGCCTGAGGAGGATGTGAGTGTGAAAACTGAAGAGCTGGTCTTACAGAAATGCAGGGCATGTTCATTGTGTTATAAAACAACACACAGGATGACAAAGTACCTATGTGTGCAGTGTAAGCAACCAGTTTGTCTATAGTGCTCCAAGCCTAAGTGCAATAATTGCTTAAACAGTGCTAACATTTGGTGGCTTCTCAGGCTTGCTCTTATATCTGAATCCGATATAGTTCCAGAAATGTATTACTTGTTATGTTTTCTTACGATTGCTGTAGAAAATGAGAGTTTCCATCTTTTGCAGGTTTAACTTTGAAAAAGTGTAAGTATATTTTTCAATTTCCCGAGTTGATTTACCGATTGTTTTTCCAAATATACTTACCATAGATTCTAAGGATGCTTCTTATACGTAACCAAGTTTCTACAGCTCAAAACAAATCATTTTTCTGACAACAAAAGCCAGCAGTTCCACAGACTGCACATCACCGGTAGTGCACCAAAAATTCACGTGACCGGTTAAGGGTTTTGAATAAAGTCATTATGTCGTCAAAGAAACATATTTTTTTCTGGGTGTAACACTTCTAATGTCACTGTGTATATTTATGTATCTGAATGTGTAAAACATAATGAGTGATTTGTGTTTTAATTTAAATTGGTATGTATGTGATACATCGCACCCAAACGCTTTAGGGTATTGCCCCGAATTCCCCCGTATTCTTTCTGTTATACTTTTATCTGAGATAATATTCTACTTTTCTGCCCCATTCTTTGGGACAATATCTTTGAAACAGTAAACGCCTGATAATTCCGCAAATCCGTCGAAGTAGAGTATTGCAAGCGTTATCGCAGCCAAATAAAATGAGAAATCAAAGTATCTAGACTACAAGAGGTAAGATCACTTCGCAAGCCCTTGGGATGCCGCCAACCTACCCAGAAACCAGATGTTTTTTCAGCAACTGACAGTCTCAGCAAAGTAGTCGTTCTAACCGAATGTCTCCCACATTTGTAATTGGTGCAAACCTGCAAACCAGTTACTTGCTAGGCTTTTAAAACAGTGAATTTCGTGTTGATATAGATTTTGTATTAGCAAAGCAGCATTAAATAGCCACCCCGATACAAATAAAACTTTAGATTAAATAAGTCGTACTTAAAACAGTTCATCAGAATACGAGTTTTTCGGTTGATGATTAAAAATCATGCACAAGGAATGAAGTCAAATATGTATGTTGACGCAATTCTGTCATCAGTTCGCAACGTATTACGTGCGGACCAAGTTAGCACCTCTGAGAAAAAAGTACAAGCATGTAAAACAGCACAATTAAATGGATTAAGTCAGTTGAGCAGACCCATAAATTTGATCCTTAGTCTCCACTGATTTGATAACGTTGCGATCTAGAAATTGATTCCCTGACCTACCGACAATACCGGCCATCTAGTGCTATGACGAACTATGTTTCTATGAAACACAGACACCCATATTTAAGTCCACTGCGCAAGTATATCCAGAAGTACTACATTTTTTTTGATAGTTATCAGGAAAATCTGAAACATAAAAAAATACACAGAATTTTCTTTTTTTTTTTGTTTCTCAGAAACTGCAAAATTTTTTCAAACTTTCCACGACACCGACGGAAATGGGTGACATGGCCAGTAGTGTGGATAGTGAAATGGGTCCGTGTGTTGAATGAATTGAGCCACTTTTATTAAAAGGCCGTCGCAGTTATTTTTATAAATAAAACCCTTTCATCTGATACCCCATTCAGGCATATTCGCTCACAACCTTCTAATTTTATCAATTATAACTAACAGCTATCCCTATAGAAGGCTTTTGCTTATGTTGAATCATCCAAATTAAATACAGTCATTGGATAAACATACAATGCCTGTGCGAAGGTAACTCAGATGCTCGTAGTCTATAAACTTTTCAGCTACTTGCGCTGTGTGCCTGTCCCAGCATGTCCCGACTTCTGCTCGACTGACTCGCGTACGGAGTGACGCTACTATTCGTTATCTGTATCCTATGCTTTAAACTCTTAACCGTGATACTTGCAGACCTAGTTTTCGAGCGGAGACGATCAGAACAAATCCACGACATCTAATTTTGTTGTGAACGAATCCGGTACTTTTATTGGGCGCTATGAAGCAATAATAATTAGAGGCTCGCTTAACAAGGTAAATATCATCGGAATCCAGAACTTTATTCCAAACAACTTCCAAATCAAAACTTCATGCCTACGCGCCTCAATTTCTAATTGGCTGAGAGACTGCGGGAACTTTAACTTTATGGGGATGGTCTATTGAAAGTTTGGATTAAATTAAGCGAGCGAGTGTTATTGTAAGCTAGGGGTTATTAGTTCAATAAAGACGGCCTGGAGGTTTCAAGGAAAACTTAGCAATAAGGGTGCATTTTGATATGGGTTTGAATAAGACTCTCAGAAAATTTATTACACGATAAAATCTATCAACAGCTTTACGGAACTAGAAAGCGAAAGACTAGTAGCGACTTCATATCTGAGAATAGACCTCGAGGATCTTGTCCCACTACTGTACCCTAAGCAGCAAGGATCCAAACATACATCCAATTTGGAGTGATGTTTGGCCTATGACTGTGCATATACCCACCATTATTGAACGGAGAACTCGTCAATCAACTGGAATAAGAGTATTCACAAGGCTATCAGCACTGGCGTGGTATGCAATAATTGCATAAATAAACATACATTCATGGCCGTTCTTACCTCTTTGCGCACTACATACAGAATCCAGTGTCTCCAGCATAAGACTTATACGAGAATGGAACAACGTTGTATTTGTTTGGTCATGTTCACAGAGACGGAAATCAGACATATTTAGTACAGCGAGAAAATCTTTTGTTTCGACTTGTCGGAGGTCAGATCACTGAGGACATGATTTGACCTTCACACGTCTGCAGCATTCTAGAGGACGGCTATCAGACAGATTGGTGACACTTTCTTGATGAAACCTGTCCTAAATTGACGGGTGGTCATAGGGCGAAGAAGGCAATACCCAACTTATTCTCTAAATACTCTCATGAGTAAAAAGGATTCACGGGATTGTCAAGAACTCGTTACTCAGCTTCTTGAAAATTTTGATATGTCTTGCCCCACATAATGGGTCCAGCTACTTGACTCCATTCTTACCTCTGAAGCCAAAGTGAAAGAAATATCCTAATCGCGGTAATTTTCGAATTACATACAACAAACAACCCCAATGTTAGTAACATCCCAGTCAGTGGCGTAGCTTGCTCCTGGGGTGCTCCGTATCAAAATTCGTCAAGGAGACCCACCCAATTGTGTCGAATCATAAATGGAGGGTAACATTCCAGGTAAGGATTTTTCATAAAAAATTCAGCGCAAGAATAATATGGATAATAGTTGACTAAGTACTGATTTTTATAATTAACCCTCAAAGATGGGCAAATAACAAATATACATATAACAATAACTTCTTTTTGCGCAGTTTACAATTTAGATAAACTTCGAAAATTCACTTTTGTGCTTCTAATTACTTCAGGTCAGAGCGCAGTAAAAGACATTATTATTATTATGGAGTTCAAAAGTTTTTAAGACTTAACTTTCACTTATGTATATATGAGTAGAGATACTGATACTCAAATAGCATGTATGTCAATATGTACTTATGGAAAACTTGAGTGTAGACATAGTATTTTTTTTAAACTTTTCTACTCATCTAGGTATAGCTGAAAAAAATTTTAGTATTTCGAGATTTGCTGCCTCGGAAGACAGCACCAAGTCTGACTATTCATAGTTGTTTCATAAGAATAGTCAAATTTAATCACCTTTAATTTCGAAAAGCTTCTTTTAGCTATTATTTTTGTATGTTATATGACATGTACATCACGCAATCTCGCATATCAATCGATCTGTCTAATCTTAGATCCGTCTATTGATAATGCATTTTCACACAAGGTTACTCTTATGCCAATGATGAAAAATAAAAATCGCTAAAACGTTTTTTGAAACTGCAGGGGCTGCTAGTCATTTTTGAAAAAAAATTGTAGGTGTTAAATGTTGGGGGTTGTAGGGGTGGAGTATCTCAACTGCCGTGCTACCGCTGCTGGAACTGGCTGATTGACTGCGGCGGACTGCAAGGTGAATCATATAGCACTGTCGGTAGATCGGGAAAAGATGTTTAAGGCTTGGGCACGTTTGACTGACTTGATAAGCTTAATTTCTTCTTATACATATTCGTAGCAAAATGGGCTCACTTGCTCCCAACATAATAACTGCTTATGGACTGATGACATCGATGCGACATTTTTATATAAATCATTCTTATTTTGTTTTAGAAAAGAAGAAGCGGACAGAGAAAGAAAACGCCGCACCAACCGTATGCTAATCGCAATGGTCGCAGTGTTCCTCGTCTCCTGGTTGCCCCTGAACACCGTCAATATCGTGAACGACTTCTACCAACAGATGGAGAGCTGGCCCTACAACTACCTCACCTTCTTCGTGACACACGCCATCGCGATGTCCTCCACCTGCTACAATCCCTTTTTGTACGCCTGGCTCAACGAAAACTTTCGCAAGGAATTCAAGCAGGTACAAAGATACTGGTTGATTTTTTTAGAAAGTGGACGATTCTTTGGAGAATTTTCACTCATTGTCAGTGCAATGCTTAGTATAGAAAAGTTGTAACCTGTTGAATAGGTTGTGTTTTATTTAGTCTCGTGCATGGAGATCGTGGACTCAACTCGTCGCCGTTGTATCGGAATACGTAGTTCACTACATTCTGGTTACTCGAAAATCAGAGAAATTTGAGGAAGATGCGAAAAACAACAATGAGTAAAATAAGACGAAGACTAAGGAGTAAGAAGTACAGCTATTAGACCATAGGCACCGAAGTAATCACAAGTAATGAAATTATACTTCCCATACGACATGCGAGGAATTATTGAAATCTCGAAAAAGGTCGCCCTTGGAATACTTTACGTCTAACCCGTACATTTGCTTTGCTACGTATACATCGTCGCCTGAATGCAGAACTATTGTATGTCCAAATTCTTCGTTTTTCAGATTTTAACACGACATTGTAGGTCATAGTCACCTACATTGCATGCAGATGTATTGTAAAGGGGCCTACAGACACACGAACATGTATTAAGACATGAACGCACGTCGACGTTTGCGCGTTGATGTTCGCCAGTGTGTAGACAAATCTCTCGTTAAAAGACCGACGCACATGCTTTCTGTTTTCGCTTGAATTTATGCCTGCACAGACTTGTACGCGCGTGTATGTATGCCTGTGTGTAGACAAAACGTACTAATTTTCACAGACTTAATTCAGTGGCGCGACTGCATTCGTGTATTCTGTTGTTAGGAGCAGGGGGGTCAACATAAGTTCATTTAGTTTTGAATTTGTCAATATGGCAGATTTGAGAAGTTTTTCCAAAGAGTTTATAACAGAGTTCATAGAACTATACAAATCCTATCCATGTTTGTGGCGAGTAAAATCAAAAGACTATATGGATCGCAATAAAAAAAAACGAAGCATATAAAGTGTTGGTGCTGAAGCTCCAAGAAGTTGAGAAAAATGACAACAAAGAAATGGTTAAAACTAAAATTAATAGCCTCCGAGCTAGTTTTCGGAGAGAACTAAGAAAAATTAAAGAGTCGAGAAGATCGGGTGCTGCAGCAGATGATGTTTATATACCACATTTATGGTATTATGATCTACTTTTATTTATAAAGGATCAGGATATCCCTAGACAATTCATTAGTAATATTGAAGATGTGACAGTGAAATGGACAGTTGCCATTCAGAAATGGAAAATGAAGACGCTCTAGAACTGGAGGTAAGGCCTGATTTATTTATTTGACTTTTACTTCCCACGCCAACTGGAGAGGAAAAGAGGAAGTATTGTAATAATAATAATAATAATAATAATAATAATAAATTGCTTTTATTGCTCATGTAAGTACAGAAAAAGAAAAAGTACATAAATCTGATGCAGTGAGCAAACGGCAAGGTTCGCTTGATTGACAACCATTAGCTGTCAATCCGCGCTCTTCCACCTAACCAAATCGCGAATAATTTCGAAAATGAGGTATTATATTTTATGGATGGTATATAATATATAACACATATATATAAAAAACATGGATATGCTTGAACCGATAAAATCAATGCGTGGGAATTGCGGAGTCAACCTACTTGATGCCATTTTTTGATTTCATGTAAGAAATAATGAAGTAGTACACATATTAATATAGAGGGTAATAAAAAATCGTCTTGATATTTTGATTCGCTTTACTTCAACTTAAGTACTTAGAAGGTATAATACATAAATTAGCAAATCATTCTTTCCTGCCAAGCTACGGATCCCTCATTATTAAAGTAGTTCAGAAATAACTGTCTAACTTCTTGTGCATCCTTGTTTGCTCTTCTATTGTAACCCGGTTGCAAACTAGTCATCTGATTTGGTTGCAAGCCTAATTCAACAGTGCCATCTTCATGGTTCTCCCTGTATAAGTTGTTATCAGGTGCATACACAGTGGCAGTTTCTTCTTCTCAGAAAATTATGCAGAACACAACATGCCATCACTACTTTGTCAATTGCTTTTAAGTTAATAGATATAGCTGTGTGGTATATTCTAAATCGAGCAGAGAGTATACCGAAAGCATTCTCTACTCTACATCCTTGCCCTTGAGAGACGATAATTGAAAATTTTCTTATCATGATCCCAGTCTCTCTGGCTAAATGGTTTCAAGAAATCACAGCGGAGTGCAAACGCTTCATCACCTATAAAAACAAATGGCAATGCTTCTTTACTGTTCATTGTTCTTGTTGGAGGTGGTATGGAGAGTTTCCTATCTTTAAGCTTCCGGTAAAACTGGTTGTACTCAATAACTCCTCCATCAGATATGCGGCTGTTGATCCCGAAATCACACATAATGAACTCGTAATTTGCGTTGACCACTGCCAAGAGCACTAGGCTGTATGCTCCTTTATAGTTATAAAAATATGAACCACTTCCGGTGGGCGGTTTTATATTGACATGTTTTCCATCTACCGCCCCCAGGCAGTTCGGACAGTTGCATCTCTTTTCGAAGTCGTCTGCAATGTTTCTCCATTCATTCTCGGTCGTTGGGAATTGAAAAAAATCAAAAATATATATTTTTTTGCATAAAACTAGATATGATGTAAATGAAAGTCAAGAGAGTGAGCTGAGCTCAGTACCAAGTCCACCAATATCCAGAAAACATTGTACCGCTGCCTGCAGCTGGAAATCGGGGAAAAAAATAAACGCAAGACAAACTCTGATAACCAAGAAGCAGACAACGTGTTGGCGGCGGTAGGAGAAAGATTACGTTCCAAGAATGACGATCAATTCGCCATTTTTGGGAAAAATGTCGCAGCAAAATTGAAAGGACTCCCAAAAGAAACCAGATTATACACTGAGAAACTCATAAATGATCTGCTGTTTGAGGCTGAAATGGGTAACGTGTCCAGAAATACTAGGATTGTTTCGTCAGGAGACAATGAACAGAATCAAAACAATTTTTCCAGTAATAGCGTTGTTGATGCTTGCTACCCTAATCAATATAACTACAATTCAACTCAACCTATAAATATATCAGGCACACAAAATCAAGCTCAAACTTATTTGCTACCAGCTATGCCACTTAAGCCCCAGTGCCATCAAAGCCATCCTCAACAAATCAACGAGGGTAGCTCCACAGTTTCAACTTATTTTGGATCGTATAATCCTCTAAGTGAAGCTAACATTTAAGGTCCAGTTTATATTTACATATAAGAGTTCCATTAGATTAGCGTTGTATGTATAAAAATAGAATACTTGAGAGTTTGTGTTTGTGTTTATTTTGTTTATTTTACTACTAAGTAATATACTCTGTACCCACCTTCATATAGTCTTTCTTCAGTACTTCATAAATAGCGCTGCATGTCTCTGGAATTATGTTGCACAATGACTGTGGAGAAATCAGGGTAGAAAATTTTAAATCTTCATAATTCCTCCCAGTGGCCAAATACCTCAATGTGGCCGACAGTCTTTCATGTACCGATATAGCGGGTCTCATCGGTGTGTTCTGTTTTTCAATAAGTGGCGAAACCATCTCTATGAGTTTTATATAACTATCTTCATCCATCCGGAGGTAGTTTCGCCAATCATCAGGTTCTAATCGTAGCTCTTCAAGTAAATTGATGTGAGAATATTGATCCCGCTTCAAAAGCCAATCTTTAACCCATTTTCTTCGTGGCTGACGTCTCTTTTTCAATTGATGTTTTCTTTTTTTCACAATACAAACGCACGCCACTGCTAGTAAGTTTAACTCATCATCGCTAGACATGGCGACAAACTACAACATCGACGTGGAGAAAACTGACACACAAGTCTCTATGTGTGGAGCTAAAAGTAGATCGACGGGTATCACTGCGCAAACATCGCCGTGCGTTCATGTCTTAATACATGTTCGTGTGTCTGTAGGCCCCTTAAGTCCCTGCGCCAGCGTTCCCCCACCACTGGTCTTGAACGATATTTTGGCGTAATAGCTTGAGGCGCGTCATTTCGCTGCAGAAATATGATAAGAGCAGATTATCACTTACAGAACTACAGTAAGTCCAATGTCAGCAACAAATATAACTCCACTTTCACGAACTTGTCATACTTTTTATCCGGTAAAACATTCTATATTCAATATTTCTCAGAAATGATAGGCAAGACACAAATACGAAAAATAGCTCTCCTGTAAAATTTGCATTTTGTGACTTAGAATACTTCTGCATTTAAGCGACGACATGTTGTTTTCTAAACATGGGACACCAATGCAAGGCATGATTCTTCCGGCTATTCTTTAACGATTTCCAAAATACAAACATGACGTTTTTATTAGCGAAAACCCTAAGTAAGATTCTTGGATTTAGGAAAACCTCAAAATGTCTACTTTCGGCTGGAATGGCGGTCATTCAAATATACCAGGGTTTTTTTTGCTGTCATTTCCGAAGATCAAGCAAGTTCTCGTCGATCTACTAGACAATTTCAGTGTGTTTGTGTTAAAAATTAAGGAAAATCTGTATCCAAATGTTTGAGTGTAGCTCGGTAAGGAACGATTCTGATGCATTTGGAATATTTTTGCTGGTTATGACAACGATACCAAAATCTTGTGTTCCAGCTGTATTGGTGTGGCCTTAGATTTGAACCTAGGAAAGTGATTCCACTGGATGGACTTGTGACTTTTAGTGGAGTGAGTTTAAAACACCGTGTATCAAAAAGATTACCGTTAATCTTGGATACTTTTGCTTTTTAATTTCTTTTAATATTTTGGAAAAGTATTTTGTTGTGTACGATTATTCAGGTTCATAATATACCATCGGATATACCGGATCAAACTAAACAAAAAAGTTCCCATGAACTTATGCATTTTACGAATTCGTCATTTAGATACAGTTTATTCATTCTAATATTGATTTTTTAATTTCTCTTGAACTACTTGGGTGATTTAAGTGAAACTGTAAATCGACGGTAGGTCGAATTTACATCCAAAAATAATAAAAAAAAGTTTTAAAATGATCAAATATAAATATAACGTATTGGTCAAACATGCATATTCTCCTACATAATAAACAGTTTTGAATTTCAGCGTAGTTCAGAGGTACAACAGGTTTTCAAATACGGATTTTACCTGAAACATTCAAACCATTTTTTCACCAAAGGGCATAGTCTAACAAACATTTTTAAGGAAGGTGACTTGTGTGAAATTGAATACCTTAATTAAAAAATGTAGTAGAAAAGTCAGTGGGGTAGAAAATAATTTTCATTTTCTTCTATGGTAGTTAAAACGGCAATTTTTAAGCTTTGAGACAAATCTTTATAAAAACGTTTCGTATCATTTCCTGGTCTACTTTATGCCTTAGAAATATTGCTACTGTTTTCTGAATCACCTAGAAGATGTTATAATGGAGGGCCTCCAATTTTGGTGTGTGTATTTTTATATTTAAGCTTTCAAAAATACAATCGAACAGGTTTCACAAAAATCCACCATTGGAACTGGGTTCCAAAGTTTTGATAATATAATGTCAGCGCTCAAGTATGTTGTCAGTTTATTCAATTTTTCGTAGACTTCCATGTGGCATTTACTAATATAAATTTATTTAAAAGAATATCTCTGTAATTGTTCGAAATTTTTATTATATGATTAGGAACTATCTTGTGCCTCTACATCTACAAAAAATATATACAACCTCAGGTATTCATCAATAGTAATACCTCCCTTGTTCTATTATCATGGGGTATGGAAAGTAAATTATTGTGGCACTGAAGTTATACTCTGCAAAGAATCGTCTTAGATTGTTTAGTTGAACAAATATTACCAAAACTATAGGTCTGATTTATTTATTTAATAATGAAAAAAACATAGTTGGTTAAATTTAATACCTCTCATCTTTTGACAATAGTTTCTATGTATCCAAGCTTGCCGATACTATCTCAAATCAGAATTAAACATGTACAAATAACAGCCAACTTTGTTCAACTAGACATTGACTTAACTTCTTAGAATGAGACGGTTCGTGAATCCAGTTTGCTGATTCTCTTCCACATAAAAAATAGGACTTCAACTGTTAGGATCAGGAGAACTTACGTAAGGATAAAATTATTTGGAGAACGGAATGAGAATCAGCCTTTAGATATGCGCGAACCTCCGTTTCTACTACCCGTCTAACCCAGAGCCCGTTTTCGCGCGCTATTTGCAAGGTGCTGCCCTGTTTCGACGGATCAACGGGAAGCAGGATGCCCTCTGCTAATCACCATTGGAGATCGGAACGCACGTGCAACGGAAATGGTGCAGAGACGCAGCAGGAGTCGTTGCTGCCTTCATCGATACACAGGTGAGGAAACACGAACAAGAACCTACAGGGTGTTCCGAGCTTAAATGGACATAGTGGAATGGTCGGCAGTATGGACCTAGACGTTTTCATATCTGAAGATTTTAATATTACATATCTCTAGTACTAATGAACCGATTTTGTTGAAATTTTGCACGATTACAAAGTTACCTAGAAATAGCGTAAAACTAGCTAGACAGTTGAAAAACCCAGGGCCGGATTCGATTTTTTACCCTTTTTTGTTTTCTATCAACACAAGTTAAATATAGAAATATTTGACCATGTACAAAAAATCCAATGAGTGGTGCTAATTAAATAGAATGGTTGATTATTTTTTTTAGTTAAAAACATTTATTCTTCAAATATCTTATCTTTAGCACTTTATGTGACGCAAATCTCCAAACAAGGGTTAACAATTTGGATTCATCAACATTTTACGGTTCAATGATTAAAGTTGAACCAAAGACGTTTTGGGAACTCAAAATTCCAGGGTCGGATTCAGTTTCTTATATTTCGTTAAGTGCAATGACCTGTAAGATATGCTTATTTATTATTTCGCAGCAACGCAAGCAACACCAGATATAGATAAGATGAAAAATTATGCACCATATTTGGATTTTCGGAATTTTCGTAATAATTTTATTCTACCAACTGATATTGTACAACAACTTAGCTCTGCTTAAAAGGAAAACAGCGCTTAAGGCCAGACAGACTTGCCTAACTGTGGTTTCCCATCCTAACCGTGTCAAACTTCGTACATCCAGAACTCACCGATACGACCGCTTCTTTGTGCCGAGGGTGTCGAGATTGTGGAACAATCTACAAGAGGAAGCTTTTCCCAGTTCGACTAATCTTAAGCGGATTTAAAATCGGATTAACAAAATTTCTTTGGGATCCTCATAGCAGCCGCGCTGCACTGGATTTAGGCTTCTGCCTGCGCGGCTGCTTCCGTATATAAAAAAAGATCCAGGCTAACTTAAAATTGAGTTTAAAATCCACAAAAATGAAGCATGCAGGTCCTAAGTTAATATTCAATCAAACTCAACTGAAAATACTGACCCTGGACCTCTATAGTAGGTTTTACTACATTTTCGTCCTAATATTAAATTGATCTGGAGAGTCAAATTCAGTGCATTTGCATACTAAATTATGTTTATTTTGAAGCTGAACGCATCTAGTTGTGTAACATCAGTTGGTAGAATTAAATCAATATATTAACCGAAAAAACTAAATAGGGCGCATAAAATTAATGTTTTCTATATGTCTACAGCATAATTCACAAGTCGTGACCAAAAATAAAACATCATACACAAGACCGCATTTTAAAGGGTGGTCTTTTACGTAATATTGTTTCCTCGAGGGCTTCATTAAAATGATACGGGGTAATGAAGTTTAGAAATAAAAATCAATTTATTTAATATCTTCAAAACCGTCAACTGGAATTAACTAAAATTTGGTATGTGGATTCCCCTGAGTATTGTCCATATCCAAAAGTCTTTACTTAAAATTGACGTGCACCAGTGGCGAAGATACAGGGAATTAGTGGCATTATTTTCCAAATAAAAAGAGTACGCTACTGTTTTTTTCCGAAACGCGCGATTTTTAGAATTTTACCTTCAATTTGCTACAAATAATTACTCTTGTTTTTTTTCCTAGAGTGCACTGTGTTTGTAAAAATAAAACAAATTAGATCATTCATGAAGAGCCCAGATACAATTAGTTTCAAAATAAAATAGGAGGCCTTGATTCCAACTTGGCGTTTCTTGGGAGATAGTCTGTTAAAGTTATGTGTTATACGGTTGTTATCGTTACTACTATTTTTTTTGTGAAAGTCACGTCATCAGTTTCTTTTTTCCATTTTTGAGTATTGTGAAATGGAATTTAGCAATAATGAGTACGCCGATATTATTTTTGTGTACGGATTCTGTAAAGGAAATGATTAAGCGGCTTCTCGGGAGGATCAACGTAGATTTCCTAACAGACGCCAACCTACCCCAAAGGTTTTTACGCGTTCAGTTCGGCAATCTGGAGTTGCGAAACTTCCCGGAGTTAGAGGTCATGGTATTTGGCAAACTGTTCAAGAGAAACTGGAAGTGACTAAAATATGGCGTTGGATGATCCTAGTTCAAGTACTAGGCGGATTGCAGCCCAGTTACCATGTTCCCAAAGTCTTGCGTGGAGAATTTTAAATCGGAAAGTTTTACAACCTTACCATCGGCAAAATGTACAATGTCTGCAACCCGGCGACGAAATGCAACGGCGAAATTTTGTGAGTGGTTACTTCAAATGCATCATCAAAATGCATATTTTATTGATTTGGTTTTGTAGTCAGATGAATCGCTTTTTACGAGGAGTGAAACCTTTAATTCTCATAATGAACATTTTGGTCATTAGAAAATCCCCGTTCTGTAATAATCCACTCGTTTCAACACAGACTTTCTAGAAATGTCTAGTGCGGCATTTTCAATAGCCAACTGTTTATGCGCATATTGCTACAATGTTTAAATGCAAACTCATACTTATCTTTTCTATAGAATTTCATAGAGAATGCGTTAATTGATGTTCCGTTGGCGTCGAGAGTACGAATGTGGTATCAGCACGACGCGACGGTGCCCCACTGCATTTTCATCGTGACAACCACATGATTTATAATCATTTTAGAAAGCGATGGATTGGCAGAAACGGGCCCGTATATTGGCCTGTGAGGTCTCCTGATTTGAACCCCCTGGTTTCTTTTTGTGGGGCAAAACAAACAACTAATGTATGCTGAACAGATTAATATTGTTAATCAGTTTCAAGAATGAATAGATAATACGTTTCATCAAATTCAACCTACAACAAATTTTGCAAAAATACGTTTTTCTTTATTAAAAGTATGCCGCACTTGTATCCGCCAGAATTCTGAACATTGTTTATTAAAACAAAGCTTTGATTCTCTAATTTGTTTTTTTTTTCGAAAACACTCTAGGAAAAAACACAAGATTAATTATTTGTAGCAAATTGAAGGTGAAATTCTAAGAATTGCGCGTTTCAGAAAAAAACAGTGGCGTACTATTTTTATTTGGAGAAATAATGCCACTAATCCCCCGTATATCCGCCACGTTAATTTTAAGTAAATACATTTGAATGTAGTTAATACTTAAGTAAATCCACATACCAAATTTTAGTTCATTCATTCATAGTTGACGGTTTGGAGTATATAAAAAAAATATTGTTTTTTATTTTTAAACTTCCACACTAGTATCTTTTTAAAGAAACCCTCGAGGGAAAAATGTTACATAAAGGACGCCCCTTAAAATGCGGTCCGGTGTATGACGTTTCATTTTTGGTCACGACTTATGGATCACCCTATATATTATAATAAACCGTTGCACTTAATAAAATACAAGGAAATAAACTAAACTGAGTTCGACCCTAGATTTTTGAGTTGCCAAAAGATATTTAGTTCAATTTCATGCATTCTACTATAAAATGTTGAATAACCCTTGAAATTATGTGTTTTGAATCATATGCACTGCAAAAACAAGTAATTTGAATCACTAAACATTTCTTACTAAAAAAAAACAAAAGAGACGCAATCAATTTCTATTGCTAATTAATTAGCACCAAGTGAAAAAGTAAAACAGATAGTGTCCCTCCCTGGATTTTTCAACCGTCCCTTCAGTTTTACGACACTTCTAGGTCACTTTATGAGCGTGTAAGATTTCAAAAAAGTCAGTTCAATCGTGCTTGCGATATATAATGTGATATTAAAGATTTGGCGTATTTAGATAAATCATCCTGAATATCCGTAAACATTGAATCAAAAACTTTTTAATTTTCGCATATGAAAAGGTCTCCCTCCATAGTACCTATAATTGCACTATGACCCCCTGTATTACCCTATTTATTTTGAAAAAAGAACTTTTGAGTACAGTAAAAAGTGATTTTTCTTCGAATTTTAATTATCCCATAAATATTGCCTTAAATTTGGAAATTTTATGAAATTACTGGAAGCCAGGACTGGTAACTGCGGTGGAACATCTACCAATCCCAAGCCTGCTTGGTGCAGCAATGCAGGAATACGGCTGGGAGCTAAATTAGGCTGATGAAGCAATACGCCTCTTGTGAACATCCCCGACGTTTCTTTTCCAACGCGTTTCGCAATTTGCAGACTAAGTTTGCGTAATAGGTTCCTGTTATTAGAAATATATATCTTGCAGCACTATTACCTTGCACTTTATGCTTTCGATACCATTATAAGTAGCGCAAGGTCACGTTGGTTTTCCCAATATCCCTTTTTACACTTAAAATCGTGACACCAGCCTTTTGTCTATATTGTAAGAAACTGCATACCCTCCAACAGTCGGTACAATATTTTGATGAATTTCTGAGTATGCAGACATTTCATTACAGCTCTTCGCTCAACAGGATCCATTTCTTAGGAATCATTGCCACACATGAACCAAAAAGGCACATAACGTCCTGGACATCGAAATCATATTGATGTGTTAAAATCTAAATTCCAATTTCGTTTTGACAGCTTTACCCATTATTATGTAAACGTTCAGAATCAAGTTTGATTAAGACTAACGCCCCATGGTATGTCCCTAACGAAGCGCTTTACCCTCAAGGACTACATTAAGCAACAAGCCCAGGAGTGCTACAGACAAGCGGAATCGCATCGCAACCGTCTGTTGCGCGAGTCAGTGGGCTACATTGTCGAGGAATTCCACAAGCCACAAGTCCGCCGCTCGCACTGCAATCAAAATTAATTCGCAGAAGCTGTTGTACACTTGTTGTGAACTCGCTTTGTAGCTATACCTACGTTTTGCTTAAACGTCAGCGAACAGCAATCATAGCGTGTCAACGTGGAATGAACCATTTGCACGCTAAAAACTGCATAAGCCCTGTTCGTACAGCTGTCGCCAACCTGTCAGTGATCGTGTCCAAGATCCCGTCATATAAGTTTCGTTCATTCTGCTATGCTATATGGACGGACTTCACAAGGCCGGATCCCAGATACAGTCACCGACAAGTTACCGACTACTGTACGAACAAACCATCTGACAACCAAAGATAATTGGATAGTTTGACATGTAGTCTTGACATTTTTCTACCATAACCTACAACGGTCACCTGTTTTTTTGCCAACCACATTCGTCAAATGAGCAACTGCAAGGTGGCCTAGGGCGAAGCGTAGGAATCAACATTCGCCTCATAATATGTAAAAAAAAGCAATGGATGATATCTTCTGTTGATGACTCCATTTCTTCTTTCCAGAGTCCCCTCAGTACGTGAGAGAAAACCCACCCCGCCCCTAGGAAGCCTGGCCCCTCCCAATAAGGCAGACTCAGTCGAAGTGGAGAACGTCGTAGTAAACGTAGCGCTAATGGGGGCGGCCTACGACCACGCAACGGACGCAGTGAGGTTGAGATTAATTACTGAAGAAGAGCCTCCACCTTACGAGCCAGCACTGGCAGTCGCCGCCGCCAATGTCCTGAACCAGCAGGAATAGGACCACAGTGAGTACGGGCACTTTTATTCTCCTATCTTTCCTTCTGATAGGCTGGCTACAATTTCGGCAAATCGCTACCGGTTTGAGCGATTCTTAAAGGTGACTAAGAATTTAATCCGGTCCAGTCTCTTACACTCTTGAATCAGGAACATTATCTTCAGTCTGGACCACGTCTTCCTTCAATCTTATCCTTATTGCTTGAGAAGAATTGAAGATGTTGGCATAAAATTCGGTATAGGGAAGTTTTCTAGTACAAGAAACAAGAATCCGTTATTTTTTATGGCCAAATATCTAGAGGGCGCCGCTTACAGCACTATTTCGGTAAATAACTTATCATAACTTTTTTGTGCTACCCTGTATACAACAACTGAAAGATCTTATTTTCTCGTATTTCCACAAAAAAATGTTGACTTGTTAGAAGTGTCTAAAGCTAATAGTTTTCGAGATATCTGTTTTTAAAAGTTCAAATGCATTATTTGTACCAAGATGATAAAACATCAAGTTGCTTTGGATAATATCTGAGTAGCGTTGATATGGTTTCTAATGTTTGTCATAATATTGCTTTAAACTTCATGAATAATTTTAAGTTGTCAATAAGTTGTTAAGCATCATGGAGTAAACTTTTGATGAATATTCTGATATGCATTTAATATACGAATTGGCAAGATATAATGCTTTAAAAGCACGAAGGTTGTACGCTGACAGATTCCCTAATAAAGACTTGCCAGACAAAGACTTTCCAACGAATCGGTCACCGGTTACGAGAAACTCGTAAGAACTGATTGTAGCCTTATTTGGGTAGTAGAAACCATTTGGATTTTAGGTAGTTTTGCTCAAAATATGGGCCGACATAGTGGAGCCCGCTGAACTATACGTACAGCTGAAGTTGAAGAAAATGTTTTAGATGCTGTCTTTGAAAATCCTACAGTTGGGGGTAGGAATGTAGCTCGAGAATTTCAAGTTTCCAAATGTACAATAAATACTATTTTTCAAGAGCAACTGCTCCATCCAGACCACCTTCAAAAAGTACATGGAAGATGACCCCGCAAGGGTAGAATTTTTACATGGCTCTTAAGGAAGTTTAACCACGACAATGGTTTTACGTTAATATTATTTTCGGACGAAACAGGATTTGTAAGGGATCAACTAACTAGCATAATCTTCACATTTATGCAGACGAAAATCCTCATGCAATAATACAAACCGGCCACCAAGTACAATTTCAAATTAATTTATGGGCAGGAATAATTGGACAATATTTAATGGGACCCGTTGAGTTACCACCTAAACTAAATGGCCAAAGGTATTTACAATTTCTTGACGAACAATTACCCACTCTGCTGTAAGATCTTCCATTACAAACACGCATGAATATGTGGTTTACGCAAGACGGCGCTCCACCTCATTTTAGTATATTAGTTAGACAGCACATAAATAGAGTTTATCCAGACCAGTAGATAGGCGGATCAGGATCTGTATCGTGGCCGGCTAGATCATCAGATTTAAATCCTATGGATTTCTTCTTCTGAGGTGATTTAAAACAACCCGTTTACAATACGCCAGTGGAAACTGTAGATGATCTTCGACAAAGAATTTTCCACCATAGCCAGGAAATGAAAAATAATATCCAAATGCTTTGGAGTGTGCAGCAAGGATTAGTTTAGATTTTGAACAATTTTTGTAGTTATTATTTCCGTTTATGTGTTTGCCATCCTCATTTGTTATTTTTAAAAACCATAGCAACGCTACTCAGATATTATCCAAAGCAACTTGATTATTATGTTATATAAATGTTTTAACATCTTGGTACAAATAATGCATTGGAACTTTTAAAAACAAATATCACGAAAACTATCAGCTTTAGACACTTCTAACAAGTAAACCTTTTTTGTTGTGAAAATACGAGAAATTAATATTTTTTGGTCAGTTGTTGTATACAGGGTAGCACAAAAACTTTATGGTAAGTTTTTTACCAAAATAGTGCTGTGAGTGGCGCCCTCTAGAAGTTTGGCCATAAAAATAACGGATTCTTGTTTATCATACTAGAAAACCTCTCTGTACTGACTTTTATGCCAAAATCTCAAATACTTCTCAAGCAATAAGGAAAAAGAGAAAATAAAATTGTAAATTGTATCTCGCAAACTATCAACTTTTGGACAGTTCACATATTTTGGACTGTAGTATCTCCAGTTTCGCAGATGCCCCAATACCCAATCAATTGTCTTGGTTTTCAACAATTTTCAATACTTTTCTGTATATACCCATTTGATTGGAAATATGTTATGTCTATGATATTTTAAACATTCTACGCAAGCTTCGTTTATGTACAATATAATTGCATAGCAGGCCCTGAAAGTTGGGACTTCCCTTTTCAGAAACAACTAATTGAAATAACAAATCTTTTGTGTGATAAAACAGCAGCAAATGCATATTTATCTGATCAGAAATACTACCGTGTCACTTGTTTTGCTCGTAAGTACTGTTGAAGTTATCGCTGTTCCATTCAAACACACAAGTTTGTTAAGTTCTATCAACATTTGGTTCTCTAAGTCTTCTATTGTAATCACCTCGACTGCCTTTGCACGATGTAAAAAACCTGCTCTGCTCGGGAGGGAAGCATCGGAACGATCTGAGTGTACTCGTGCAGATCGTGCTAGATCATCAAAATCAGTGCAACCAAGCAGAAGTCTTGTGACTTTTTATGAAATTAAATTAACCCTTCCCCACTATAAGCTAACCAACATAATGATAAAATGACATAAACAAAAAAGTTCGAAAATTGAGCAGTCCACAGGATCAGGCTGTTGATTATAAAGTAATGGCGTTTGAATTTTTTGAAATTGGAATGACACCACCCAGCGGCCATTTTAGGAAGCCGAAATTAATTTCCAGAAATTTCTCTCGGGCACTTTTGTTATAAGTTTTTCAACCGATGGATCTAGGTTGAGCGGTTGCTGAGATACAGCTGGCGTCCTTTATTATGTTCCGTCGTCGTCGATGTAAATATTTAGAATACATATCGTACTACCCTCGTAGCAGTACCCAACCGCCACGATTTCAAAGCGCGCACGTCGTTTACGTGAAGTGCAGTGTCGAGGATCCGCTGAACATTTAGAATTAGAAAACAGGACAGAATGTTGGCCGATAGATGTGCATTGTCGAACGAGATACCGACCGACAGTCGCCTGAAGGTTTCTTTCGTCGCGGACCAAAATTAGAAAGTGGCGTGCAGGCCTCTTTTTCTGAAGGGGCGTGACCACCAGGTAACTGTCAACTAACCAATCTGTTTTAGGTGCAAGTTAAATGCATGCCTCACTGGCGCTGCAAATTGTGCCTAGCGTGACGTTTGGGATAACGTTCTGACACTGTTGCTTGGGATAGTAACCTGGACCTAGCTTGTGATAGCCAACTTCATACCTAGGACGAACAAAGACGTGTGAGATAACGCTGAAACATTCTCTCGGTTGCTTGGGATAGTAACGTGGACCTGGCTTGGGATAGTTAGCTCCACACCAAGGACGAACGAAGACGTTTGAGATAACGTGGAAGCATTAGGCTCGATTGCTTGGAATAGCAACGTGGACCTGGCTTGGGATAGTCAGCTCCACACCAAGGACGAACGAAGACATTTGGGATAACGTTGCAACATTGGACTCGATTGCTTGGGATAGCAACAGGGACCTAGCTTGTGATACTCCACACCAAGGACGAATGAAGATGTTTGGAAAAATGATTCAATACTGAACTTCGTTGCACAAATAACAACACTAAAAGCATTTGGGACAACATAGCAACAAGGTATGGTCAACAATCTTTTCTCATTTGTTTGTGATAGCAAATTTCATCTGGTTTGTGATAACTATGGAACAGGACTGTAAGTTTGACATCTCCGGTTAGGAAACCACCACAGTTCTAATGTTCAGTAATAACGGAAATTAAATATCATTATGTCCGATTAACGTTACATTTTGCATAGGTGGCACTCGAACAGCAGGGCGCTCTGGATTGTAATGTCTTATAGGCCATGTAGTGTTTCAATAGATGACGCATCACCACGATGATGTGGTGTCCTTAGTATAATTAATGTTCGCGCGTTGTTCCAAGGCTGACATTCCGATGGCAGATCTTGTTGATGACGATAGATGAATAAATTCTGTACTATTATATATATTCATCATCAATGGCAGAGCTTTAGGAGTGGCGCTTATGTCCTGAGTTGGACTCAAGTGGTCAGTCGCCATTCAGATGGCGACTGGTTCAGCACTTTGCCATAGCTGAATCTCATTAGCCCATCTATGAATTAGCTGCGGTGCTATCAGTAAAAAAAGTTGAGCTAACTAAAAATCATCACCTATCCAACTTATTCTTGCCCCCAAGTCTGATGGGTCAACACGTGTGATTCCTTACTGGGATCAGACTTGTCCGTAGCGATACTTTCTTCGAATACGAATCTGTATTTGGAATATGCAGTGATTTTTGGTACCCGTTAGGGAGAGTCATAGCATATATTTCAGATTCATTTTCAAGGGACAGCTGTTCCAATACAATGCTGTACTGATTAGGGTAAATTAGACCACGTACGTGTTCACAAAGTTAATAAAACCATTTCTGAAATACCTTAAGACAAAATTGAGCACTTTCAGGCTCAGTATTAAATTGTGACAGAAAGAAAATAACTTTACTTGAGTGAACGATCCAGATATTACTAAACCTAGTAAGGGCAATAATAGACAGCAACCAAGACAGAGTCCGAAACTTTGCGGTGAACATCGGTATCTTGATACACTAACGAATGAAATTTCTTGCCTTGTAAAATTCTCAATGGAATTTTAACGCTACCATGCCACTAACATAATATACAGGTAACTTAAGGTCTACCTCGGCTGGGGCTCAAAGAAACTGGCAGATGCTGTCAGAGGTATTTTAAGTTGTATAATTTCTCGGACTGGGACATTCGTTGGCCAGGGAGGAGTTTCTAGTTTTTGGTCACCCGAGAAGATCCCGCATGCTAATCGTCAAGAACCTCTGGTAGTTTTCTTCTGTGGTGAATGCTTTGCTACCGAATTGATGGGCTGTCGCATATTATACCCCATCCCACATCAATAGAATGGAGAGCTTCTAGTTTCGACGTCTGGACCAGGTTGCGGGAAAACTATGGCAATTGTGTAAAGATAGAAATATTACAGCCTTCCCGTCTAATATAAAATCTAGGAGTAATACTGGTACAGATGAGCTTTTGCGTCAGTGGGATGTGGAAACGGAGTGGGAGTTGCACCTGTCACCGTCTTGATTTTGATTCAAGTATTCGGTGTTTCTAAAATTTCACTTCTAGAAGTAACGCAAGGATCTGATGGGGGGACCTAGGACGCCGCTCCCACCAATTCTGCAGCTTACCCTGGGTATCGTCACTGGAAAGCTGTCATTCCAATCAGCATCGATAATTACGGTAGGACCTTTGTCGGGAAGAAATACATGTCTTGTTTCCTACCTTGAAATTTCTTACCTTACAGGTGATAAGAGATCAAGATATAATTGTTTGAGCTATCAGTCTTTTACCCAAAATGTTACTAACGATGCAGACATAAGATGGTTTTTGAAGGGCATTTACAGGCTGAGGCCATCTCAACAGAAATTTAGATACTGTGGTTGTTCTCAACCAACCAAAGGGGTTGCTGGTAAGCTCTGTAGATCTTTGGATGAGGAAATCAGCAGCACTGCTAGGCTCTAACCTCAGGTCAGAGTGTGCAAAATAATTGAAACGGACAACATCCGGATTAAGTTGAATAATACTAGAATTGTGATTTCTCAGTTTTTTAAAGTCTCGAGGTCACTCATGTGTCTTACCTTATTTTACACCCAAATATCTGTGCAAAGTATTTATTTGCCACTGTACAGTAACTTTATCATGGTGCCTCCGCTCCCAGATGGATGACGTCGGTTTTAGCAGAGAGTGTCACAATTGACAACCCACAGTACATGAAATGCGTCTACCTTTCCGCCTGCTAAATTGTAGTAGTCTGAGGCTCACGGCGGGCTGGAGTGCTTTTTCTGAGATACGTCACAAATCTCTTATGCCAAACAATAGCTTTGCTCAAGCGGCATTTGAGGTGAACCAAGTATCCACACCTTAAACATAACTATGTTATTACGTTATTTGCTCATTACCATGAAATGGATGGTAATTTTTGAACCAGGTACGTCATCTTACCTGTTGCTAATAGCCTTGTTACAATGGAAATGTACATTTAGTTGACACATACATTGCGTACAATTTGTGTAGTTGTGTACAACCTAACGTTTACAATTGCAGAGCGTTAGTAGTATGTTGTTACAACTAGCTTTGAACATCTACGATATATATTTATTTCGACGAGGACGGAACATAATTACGTGATCAAACGAACTTACCTGTAAGTGATGTTCGAGCTTAATTATGTGAAGTCCTCGTCGAAGTAAATAGCTCCCTCGCTCCCTATCTATCACCCAATGGTTGCAACAACTTAGCTTTGATGTAAATGAAGGTTTATTGGCGGCCAGAGGGGGGAAGGGAAGGGGGAAGGGTAGGGGGAAGGGGCGCGGTGCCGCTTTCCTTCTCTGCGTGCGCGCTTTGAAATCGTGGCGGTTGGGTACTACTACGAGGGTGCTACGATATGTATTCTAAATATTTACTTCGACGAGGACTTCACATAATTAAGATCGAACATCACTTACAGGTAAGTTCGTTCGATCATGTAATTATTGGAAGACCCGGTACTGGAAAAAAATTATAATTCATCACAGAATTGTGTGATGACTACAGAGTCGATCTAGTCGACGCCATTTCATATATTGTTAATTAAAGTACTGTACTAACACTTCTTTAAACTGAATACGTTTGTGGAGACATGCAAAGAACAGAGTAGAGTAAAAAGCAGGTGTTGTAATACTCAGGAGTTAATAAAATGCACGAAGCAGTGTTCCCGTTAACAAAGGAAGCTTACGCCCGTTTTAGCGCTGATGGAGAAGTTCTGCTATAAGGTCATGGTGTCAGAAAGGCCATAAAATATCTTATATGTAATGGTGTCAGGGTAAAAGAACAAATCACAAGGGATAAATTGGACAACGGATGCGTTTATTGTTCCTTTAGGGTATCGTTTATCACGAAGAAGTGATTCCTAGAAGCACATATCCATTCATTGCCCAGAGGTTAAAGCCGTAGTTGCCCTGTCTTAAATTTTGAAGGGATAAAGCTTGATACAGAGTGATCCTCTATAAGATAGGCTGTTTTTTTTAAATATTGGCTTACCTTTTTCATACTATATGATATGAGAATAACCAAGAAACACGGATTCCAAAACTAGAGGACTGAACTAGTCTAGACAAGGATCACATTGTCGATATTATATGCCGTGTTAAGGTACTTGGCTAAGGTATGAGTCCTTGAGTAAAGAAAATGCAGTATGCAAAACCGCGCTACGTAGCAACGTATAAATTGTCTTCAGCTTGTTTCGCCCTCACTCGTTTAAGATTTGTGTGTAGTAAGCCTGTTTTACTATCCTACTATTATGCTCAATTTTATTCAAAACTAAAGTATGTCATCTTATTTTGGGGTTCATCTCGATTATTTTGAAGAGTGCTGATATTGCAAAAATGAGGGATTAGGAACAGGTTAGGTTTATCGTTTAGAGTTTAGAGAGTCATGCAGGTCTTGGTTTAAACAGAAAAAATACTTTCTCTATCATCAATTTATATGACTGAAAATTTAAATGAGTTTGTTTCAAATGCTTATTTACACAGCTATAAAACTAGAAACAGAGACACCCTAGTTTTGCCTATTCACAACTTGTCACTGTTTGAAGTCTCAAAAATAAGTTAGATGCCAGATTAAAGAGCATAATACGTATAGAAAGGTTTAAAAGAGAACCGTATAAGTATTTTGAACAAAGCGCATTTTACTCCTATAAGGGAATTCTTGAATATGAGATACCTTCTTTAATTTGTCTGTATATGTGATACTAATTTTAATCTGTTTGTACATGTGCTACCTATTTCTTAATCTGTCTGTATATGCTTTAAATTTGTATATTTGCGACATTTCCTATGCTCTTGCAGTCCACTGAAATAAATATTATTATAATTATCTGGAATATTGGCATTGAGAAATGATTGACAAATGTACCTTCTGTTTTTAACTTGCTTTACGGAGCTCGTAACGCAAAGCATGGAACTGCTAAAATTTAAACTGACTTACGAGTTTTGCTGCCTATACCGGCACAACATTTGCTTTTTCGTTTATTTCAAGATCCAAAATTCCAAAAACGTTGCAACTTGATACGATATTTTCTTAATACAATATCAGATTCAGGATAAAAAAAACACAAATAACGGCAAAAAAAGAAAAACTGATAATAGCCCTTTAGCAGGTGCAGAGCTGATAAGAAAAATTTTATTAAAATTAATTAAGAACGGTCCATTATTAGAACCTCAAAATTAATGAGTTTCAGGTCACGCAAGACGTTTTCCATTTTATATTTTATTCTCCTTGACTCATTTCCCTGACAGCTTTCTGTCCGCCTTGAATCTGAATATGGGAACTCGACTAAACCTAGAGCCTTTATTTGCAGGCTTCTCAAGTTTGAATATCCGAAGTAGTTCTATATTTTAAAATATGTGTTTATCTTGTTTACGATATAGGCTGAGCGGGAATGGAAATTGACAGAAAATTAATGAGTTTTTAGTTATTCCATTAAAGCTGTTGCGTGCTTCTATTCCAATGAAAATAAATTAACTGCGGATTGCTGAACGGGAAAATTACTTCATATGTTTTCATGCTGATTACCGAATTAGAAATAATATTGAAAAAGCAAGAAACATGTTTTTACTTAGTCTTGTGGATTGAACCTATGTCGTTATAAAAGACTATACACGTCATCCAAAACGTCAGTCTTTTGTTCATACTTGAGTCATAAGTTGTGAATTGAAATTCTGTTAATCTAACCGTATTTCCTCATTTGGATCAACCAATCAAGAAAAGCTTGGCTGGTCACCTGGTAGTCACTTCATTCGAAGGCAGTCACAATGCGAAGGGACTTGAAGATGGGAAAACTCCGTCCGAAGCCTTAAGTACGAACGATCGATTCATTAGGGTGACAGAGATCCCAATAACGAGCGAAAAGTAGTAAAACTCTTATTTCAACGATATGTTTGCATATGTGACATCCATACTTAATCGTACTCCAACAATTTAAATCTAAGATCATATCGCAAACCTAGATCTAGACAGATTCAACTCAAAAAAGCACTTTTTTCATAAAACTCAAAAAACTGATTGCCGTGTCTCTGTGCTCTGTAAGAGTTTTCTGTTGAGATCTTCGCTTTGCAAGTACAGCTAGAAGAAACAGTTTATAAGAAAATTGCATTTTAGTCGTGTATCGGTGCCTAGATTTGGATTTTAGGAGTTACTTCTCCATTGTTTCATAAGTGATTGTACATTTTTCTTTTATTTCGAGTTAAGCCTATCTTGATGAATCAGGTTTTGAGTTGGCTCTGTTTTGAGGAGGTAACGTAAACAAAAATATTATTTATGTGGTATTATTTATATTTAGTCCAACTCATGCAGTAGTTTGTGACCAACAGTTGGAGTATGTTAGCTAATGAATTATGAAGAACACATAAATACTCAAATCAAAAAACATTGTTTTATTAAATAAAGCTATAAAAACTATTGATAGCTCCTTATGTCCCTTAATTATAAAAATAATAAATAAAAAAAAATCTTTCTTACAAAACGTAACAATATAACAAAAATATTTTATTCTATGCAATGAAATTACCGTGATATTAGTCACATCCGGAATCCCATTTGTCTTAATATTTATATATTACCTATAAAACTCATATGAGTAGGTACGCTGACAAGTTAGCTTTAAACTTATGAATTTATTTATTTATTAAACATAACAATTCCACATGAATATTAGATAGCTTAATTGTTCTAATTACCCAGAACGCTTTTATAGTAAACATCATAATACGGTTTAGGAATAACGTGATTATCAATCAATTCTTGAATACAGCTTTTTTTAGCATCGGACAACGTAAATTTCTCAGTTTATGCCTGTGTTAAGCCAATTGATCCATAGCTGACTTGTTTCCCCTTCTTCTTCTTGGCCCACAAGCTATCCTAAATGCTTCCTCTGTGTACGATGTTTTGAAGAAAAACTCTTCAGGATGATCCTTCTCAACTTTGAGAATCTTAATGACATGCCATTTAATCTGATTTTTCTGTTCATCTATGTTTAAATTGGAGCCCCATGATTCTTGCAATGCTTTGACATCAAAAAACTTACTAGGTGTCATTTCTACGACTATGTAAGGTTTTCCCGTCTTTTATGCTGAACCGATCAAAGTTTGTATTGCTCTTGTATGTAGATAGGGCCCGACTGCAAACATCTTTTAATTTACTTTTCTATCGCACTGTGAACGTTATCACCCTCGTTTTGTGAATGAACGCGTGTTAGGAACTTGTAATAGGTTCAACTTGCAACGTGTGGACAGCATAAGCATAGACAGACAATAGAAACTTATTTTATTGTTGCCCGTCACAATTGTCGGAGCAAAATACCATGTCAAGTTCTTTGCTGGGATTTTGGTGTACCTGAAATTGAATGTATTCAAGTATGCAGCTACCAATTTCAACCGCTCCCCTCTTTCCTTCGGTTTCATCCCAAAAGTAACACATAACATATTTTGCCCCCTTAAATCGCTGATGGTAAAATTTAGGCAGTTGATCCGGGGCTTATAAAAGAATGATACTTGTCCCTTAGGAACCTGCAATACTGCTTGCAATCGTAAACAGCTGTGATGGTACCATCGGTCCTATTTTTGTCCTTCTCCTTTTCAGATCTTGCCAAAGCCTTCTCTTTCAGACGCTGTTCATATTCTTGGATTAACTTATTTTTTTTCTTCTACATCCAAGTTCTTGTATCTGTCGCATAGATCACATTGGTCTTTTTTCGGTATACAGAAGGAAATTTTGAATTCGGTGTTGAATATCCTGTAGAATGTGGAAGACGAAATAAATTGGAAGCCCCCGCTTTCGCAATGGTGCTTATAATCTCTATAAATATCGGCCAATGATCTGTCACTTGAAATATACTCTCTACTTGTTTGCGCTCGCAAGTAGTAAGACTCTATCCTTGCAATTGACTTTATAAAATCTATAACACTCTGCTTAATTTGTGGGTCAATAGTTGGATGATGGTCATGTTTCCCTCTCATATCAGCTTGGATAACTCCCGATTCAGATTTTTTAGTAAGAGCGGTCTTTATTGCTTTATTGCTCAAATTAAGGGTGGATTCGAAAAATGTCTTGCATACTCTTTTTCTTTATTCCATCAGCTTCAAAATAAAAGGCGGTGTTAAGAGGTCTTAGATGTTGTGTACTGAAATATCGATATTTAGGTTTTATTTCTTGTGAATGTCGTACTATAAACTCTCTCTGCCTTTCAAGATTGCCGAGTCCCCAATATGCATCAAAAAGTTGTTGCCTTGACATTTCATTGATGTTATTGTGGCATTTAAGCCTACATTTTTCCCCACAGGAAGGACCAACTGCTCTTTCAGCCATTAGTTTTTTGGATTTCGCCAAGGATTGGTAAGCTTTGCCTGAATTCCGCAGCATTTTTGTGACTTTTGATTTCCACTCCGATGGTTTACGTACTCTCTTTTTACCTCTTTTGTCTACCAGCGGCTCTTGTGGATTAATTTCAGCAGAGTTTTCAGACTTTACTTGCCCACAAACATCTTTGAAGTACAACGAACTATTAGGTATCGACGAATTTAAGCTGCAACTGCTGCTGCTAGATGAACTAGAAGATGGTTTATTTGGTATGACCTTAGACATGATCTCACTTTTAGAAACCATTCAAAAATTGGGATCTGCATCGGAGTCGGCAATATCACTTAGAATTGGTGAAATATAATAGGTTGGACCAACAGGCTTCTGTTGTCTGGATATGCTCAGAAGAGATTTGTCAAACGCTGCTAATGCGCTATGAGTCTCCTTGAATGAGATTCCGTGACTTAATGGAATGTTTAGAGTTTCATATTGAGTAGATACAGCAGGAGGTTTCATTTGTCCTTTTCTTTTACCATATTAACTAAAACCCATCCACGTTCCATTGTTTGTCTGGAGTAGAAAATGTATATTTCACTTAATTGTAGGGTTAAATCGATTTAATAATTTTTCCACCTAGCGGTATGGGCTCATGAACTATATACAAAGATAAATATTTTGCGATGGTATCTAAAGAGATCTATCTCGAAAATGTATCACTTAAAACGGAACAAATCTGTGTAGTTGCCACGTTAAAAGTAAAACTATATGAAGGTAAAAATACTACTATCGTCACTTGATTAATTTGGCAAGGAAATATAGCGGTTTAAAAAATGACTCAGCAAAACAGGCGCAACTACAAATTTTAAAATGTTTCAACAATAAGGTAACAAGTCTAAATAAGAATAAAAACTTTACTCACCTTACCAGCAGTACTGGTTTAACTCAAAATGTTTTAATAATTTACACAGCATTAACCACCAAAATGGCGATAACTCAAAATAATACTGCGTCAATATTTAACAACACGGATATAACTCAAGATAGCTCGACTATGCTAACGTCAGACACGTGTGCTCCGCTTGGAACACTGGATGCAAGTAGTAATGTCTCTGTTCTGGTGCGGAAATCCCGAGGACCGCGGGTTTAGTAAAAAGGACTTCTTGTTACATCTAGCGTCGAGTATTGGAAGTAATTTTAAACCTGTTTTGTTTAATGATAGGCAGTAATTTGCGCAATGCAGTGGTGTGTATAATTTTTGAGTTAGCTCCCTTTAGAACTAGGTGTGCGATTATAAATATTGAAATAGTTATGACTTGATCTACCTGGGATTCCATGGTTATCTAGGTGTTAAATGAAACCACAATCGCTTGAGTTCCTTCTTTTAACTAATGTTTCGGCCGTGGAGCCTATATACCAGGGGGAGCGACGCAATGAAGAACAAATCGACCCCTAGGCGGCTGACTGAGGGCGCAGTGATCGAATCTGGTCTTCTTGCTTTGAATCTCAAGTAAGTGTATTTGGGACAAGAAACCAATGAAATTATCATTAATTTATTAATAGCACGCAAATCGTCACTATGCACCTATGCACTGCCGTTTCGTTCCAGCTATAGTATACAACTTACAGCTTAGACCTCCAATAATGCCATCTCTGAAGCAAATGTTACACCACATCAGAGCCAAACATTGATAACTGAAGCATCATGACTTTTAGGCAACACGTACAACTACATAACAAGTTCCCAACTAGCGTCCATCAGCTAGTGCTAAGTTAACATCTTGTAGAAAAATATTCGTTATATCAAAAAAAAATGTCACTTTTCAAGATACGTAATATCCGTGCGGGGCGCTTGAATCGGGAAAAGGCTACTGCTATAATCTATTCTACTATTAATTGTCATTCAAGTTTTATCAGGTACCTGCAAATTCAAGTGGCTGTATCATAGATTATTAGGAAATTGTTCATATGGCGGATCTGTCAAAGCACATCCATACCAAATGGTTTGAACAAAACTTCTACAGAATAAGTACAAAAATCCCACAGAACTGCTACTTTTTGAAAAAAAAAGTACCCCAAAATCATAGTTAAAAAGTGAAAAGAGGTATGTTTGTTACAAAGAGCAAACCGGATGCTTTCTATCTACGAAATCTGTGTTTCCCTTCTAGAATATTATATCCCCAAAAAATTTCCCAAGTAAAAATCTTCCAAATTTGGGGGAAATCTCCTAGCTTAGGAAACCTGTCAAAGCTTCACTGGTACTCCAGGCGCTAAGTATCGGGGTGATTTTCATATCACGAACATCATTGCCAAAGTTTCTCCTGGTATATAGGCTCCTTGGTTTCTGCCACAACGGTGGCCTTTTTTAACGTACAACTTATAACTGACAATGACATTACATTTGATGTTTATTTTCTTTCCATCCTATTTTACAGTATGTTTGCGACAACAGCCTGAATGGTTTCGTAGTTTC